CGAGGGTTCGCTCCCCGGGAGATGCTTTGGTAGTTTAGCGCGGAGGAAGGTAGTCTAGTACTGGTGTAACTCTCCATGAAAGATGGTTAGGAAACTACCCGCCAATATGACTGAAATACTGTTGGGAAAAGGCGTAAAATGAAACAAACAAAGTATCAATTGAGAGCTTACACAAACATCTATGCGATACATTTACATAGACTTTCACATTCACTACATTCACTTTCGTGCAAAACCTGGTTTAAAGCGAGATATTGACCTAGTTGCATTCATATTTGAACACCCTTCGTATACCGCCAAGAACCGAAGCATGCGCAAGCAAATAACAGTGTATTTTTATATCATAGTAAAATACGTGTATGCATAACATTTTATTGTTGTTGTTTTTTGGCATATTGTTATTACATGTACTTCAAAAAATAGCTAGAGGTTACACCGCAATGATGTCTTTATTTTTGAAACACTTTATTGAGCAACGTTATCGTAACCACTGAGTAAGTGGGACCCAATTGAGGACCTCATTAGGACTCCATCTATCTTAATGGGCTATCCTTGTAACCATAGATCCCTCTAAGCAAAACCATTGTGGTATTTTTAAATTAATATTTTACCTGAATAAATACTGTACTTTTTTATCCTCCTTTATTATATCTTAACATCTATGTTTACTTTAAAGGTAACAAAAACCAGTACTCCTAAACAGTTTTTTGTGCTCTAATGTATTAAGTTTCTGTTTTGTTGTAGTCAAAATGTTATCTTTTTTTTTAATCTTAACCTATGTCTTAACTTATATCAAAATTCAAAATTAACTTCATTTCATTTTTATGAAATGATATTACTATTTGTTAATCCATTATTTTATATAGATCTAAGTATATTTATGTTCTTTATGTTCATGTATCAATGATCTATGATGTTGCGAAAAAAATAAAATGAAAAATAAAGTGCGTCTTTTCTTGCATGTCATATGATGGATGAAATGCATTAAAACAGTGATATCATGAAATCTTTCAGAAATTCCTTAAAAAGGAAAATAATTTAATAATTAAATTTCCAATAGAGAAGTCCAGAGCAGAGGTAGAGGAATATGACTTTTCCAGTCGTCATGAATTTAATCAGCTTTCGACAGCGAAGTTTAGTCGTTAGAGATTTAAGACGCTGAAACACAGTCAATTGTTATGTCAAACTACCCTAGGCAGACATAGCAGCTTCATGTTGCAATCTCTTCTAATACATGTTCAGATCTAAACTTAGTCTCTTTTTGTCCAATATTTTGACGCCAGAAACCCAGCATTGGTCAAATTGGAACTTTTGAACAGACAGATTATTAGAAATAGAATCACTAAGAAACATATCTTGAATACTATTCATCCAGATTAAAAAAAGCCTGCGTTTCGAAGTAATCTTTCTACCAAAATTAAAGACATTATGTTTCCTTGTGTATTTCCAAAATAGTGGGTCATTTTGTTACATGAGTATATTTAGGGATCACGTGCTTAATGCAATACTTACCAAGGTCGCTTGCAATAAATAATCTATGTATTACAAAACAAACGCGTTCTTTGGAAAAAACTGATAATGTTTCAAAAAAGTTTTAAAAGCACACAGTTGCAACCCATAATGAACGTTATTGACACGAAACTTATGTTCAAACAGACCAGCCTATGATTACATTTCCTTGTTGCAACACGTATCAGAAGATAAGTTATGTCAATGTGACAACACAAATATAATGAGTGACATTTAATAAATGATTATTCTAACTGCAAATTAGGTGAAGTTTAATCATAACGTGGTCCTTGAAAATAGATTATAAAAAACGTCGCTAAGGGAGACAACTTCTCTGAAGCGCGTGTCGTAATAATCAAGGGGAATGATACCCGTCAAATTATGGGAAAGACTATACGACTTTTCAAATAATACGTGTTTATTTAAACCTCTAACTGTTATTATTGATTTCATTATTTTGAAACTGATTACTTCATTTTAATCTCATATCAAGACAATTTGAATGACTACTGTTACCGTAACAATGAAAACAATCCCCTTTGTCTCACTTAAACTGTCGTTATCATTATACTTGAAGTGATTTATCACCATTCAATACTTCAAAATTGATTAAAGTGACAGGTTTCAAAACAATTAAATAAATCTTGACCTTTGAAATTGGTGATGTAGGTAGAACAGAAAGGGTAAGAACGATAGACACAGACGCACGATACAATTTTGACTTGATATTTTAATAATGTTGAAGATGATTTCACTTTTTATATTTGCTTTGATATTGCAGATACAGACAATAATTTCAATTGACCAGGTAAGTTACATTTTGTTATAATAAAAACTGTTTTAAAAATAAGTTGAAAAAAATAATGATAAAGAAAGTTTTTAATGAGATATAAAATAATAAGTCAGTTTATTATATACTTATGAATGAAATATTGAAAAATATTGATGAAACAAATGAGAATTTTCATTTTTCGTATTCAAACTGTAAAAAATATTTTTCACTGTAGTGTAACAAATTTTCCGTATTTTCACTGGTGTCTTGCCTGACTATTTTCTACTAAATTTAGCCAATACACAAAATTTAAACGGAAACCTTTCAAATTGTAATGTCAAAAAAGAGAGAAAGTTGTATGTAATAAACAGAAAATTCAAGTTTTATCTGTAATACAGGATTCATTTTCATTTTGTGGTATAAAAATTATGTATTTCACTCATGGCTACCGCCAATCATGACAAATTTATTTTCATACCACTCGAAGAAAATAAATCCTGTATTTATAGAAAAACATTGAATATCCTCTTTATACTTTTGTATATATTGAAATATCATGTGTTGTGTTTTTGATTTGTTGTTTTATGTATTTTTCCATGAGAATCAATGTAAAGGATTTGTTGATCTGCTCGAAAAATATTTTTTTTAAATATATCTATTAGAAATATTTTATATCTAATCAAACCATTATAATACTTTCTTTGTCAACAATCATATTTTGTTGAGAAATTGCTTATTTCATTTGCAAACCAGATTAAGATTTGACAGCCCCGTTTGGTTTCACAATGGACAGGACGTGAAGTGCTTGCACATATGGTTAAAGCAAGCGAGATGATTACAAACTTGAGAAAACGGCACCTATTCATGAATATTTATAACGCTCGCGCGTATTTTCTCCAGGAAAGTTGGTTTGTATGTTATTTTGCAATTTTTGAACATGCCCATTCATAAAAGCAATTTTTATGATACATTCGGTTTAAGGTTTTGGGATCCTAATTTGACGAAGTTATTGAAGATATAAACTTGTAGAGTACATATTTTGAGATTTGATCAGCGACTATTTTGGCCGGGTTTTCTACTCATTGATAGCTTCAAATTCTTAATTCAAGACAAAATATGTTTCTGTCAATATTGTATAAATATTTTATTTTTGCAATACCCAAATTATGTTTCAATACACAAACATGTCTTGTTCAAGCGCATTTTGGTTGCAAACTTATTACTTTTCTTTCAGTCAAAAATAAAACTGCAAAAAGATTCAACTGAGATCATATGATTTAGTCAGAGAAATTTCCTAGTCAATTTTATTTATGTATTATTTATTTTGCTTTAATATAAATGTTTATGATTATGGCTTTGACATTTTTGAAGTTTCCTTATAATTTATTTGTACGACCGCTCCATGGTCCCGCCTTTTGTGCACTCTCATGCTTTTTGTTCGTGCCCCAGTGTGACTGCATTTTGTTGGGCTGCATTCTGTGAACATTGCTATTTTTTTCTTGTTCTGATATTATAGTTTCAAATTCAAAATACACATTTTAAACGTGTATATTTCTTTAGATTGTGTGTTTCACAGGTCATAAATAAAAATGCGTCATGTCAAATAAATTTAATAATTTTATGTGAAAATGGCGATGCACAAGGAAGAATAGAGAAAGGATTCTGCAATTGAAAAACTTGCCATCGTAAGTAAAAACTGAAAAAAAAATGTCGCATCTGATGTTCACTCAATATTTCTAAGTCTTGATATCGCACCAGTGATATAAAACAAATATCTCTTATGTAGTTTTTGTACATATATCGGATATGTTTCGGAAAGTCTTTTGAACCGTGATTGGAAACACAAATTAATTACGGACGAAATTTGGCGTTATTTCTCTTGTGATCTTTTTTATCCTTTTAAGGATATTAATAGATTCAAACGCACTAATCTTAAGTGAACAAAGCGCATTTTTAAACATTTCATGGAATTTCCTTTAAATTCCCGCCAAAATATATAAATTCTAACTATTTCCAGGAGAGGTTGAAATAATCGTGTTGTTTGATTTGTTTATTATTTCACTATATACAAAAGTACTAAAATATAGATAGTTCTTCCCATGTAATAACAATATTACTGACGCACCCACAATTGCTTGAAATACAAGTGTGCAAAGCATCCAAAATGCGCTTGAACAAGATATTTTGTGTATTGAGAAATTATTAAGGAATTGCAAACTAAAACATTTATATAATATTGACAGAAACATTGGTTGTCTTGTTTGATGCACTTCAAAACTTAAAAAATCGAATAAATGAGTAGAAAAAAAACGACCAGAACAGTCACTTGTCAAGTCAAATATCAAAATGTACATTACAAATATATAGATATATCTTCATTATTTTCGTCAAATTAGAAGAAATAAACCTGAAACCTAAAACCGAGTGTTTCATAAACATTGCTTTAATGAATGAGCATATTTAAAAATTCAAAATAACATACAAACCAAATTTTTTTGGAGAAAATACGTTATAAAAATACATGACTGGACAGCCATTTCGTCTCGTTTCGCCCGTTTGAACTACAAGCGTCATGCTGACCAAAAATTGGTAAAGAAAGTTCTTAAAAAGGCTCTCGATCAAAACCCGTTTATTGATGTTTAATAAAATGTAAACCGATATCAAACTAAGCACTGAAAAAACTTTAAGAGCGATTGTGCCTCAGGACACAGCACCATATATGGTACCCTGCCTTCAGCCTTCGCAGCTCAATGAATACACTTACGTTACTTCAGACAAATGGAGCGATAGTGAAACATTCGGTCGATGCGTAGGAGAGTACATATATGGTCACTGCTTAGCTGAAAAAGATACAATAACTACAGTACTACTACAGCTTTTTTTGTATTAAAAAATAATATTTTTTGTAAAAAACACCGGGCAGTGTAGCCTTTTTTCGGCATAATTTAAATCGGGCATTTTTTTCAAATTCTCATTGTCATGGTTATCAAACGACCTTAGGTTTCTTTAAGTCGGAAATGTCATTGATTTCAAAGCTATTCAAATGGTAAAATAGAATATAATAAATGAATGTGAATTTAAGGAAAGCGTATCAGTCAATATATATGTTTCAAATATATAATTTTTATGACGTGTAACTGTAAAGCAGCAATGGGATTTTAATTGAACGGGCGTTTGTCCTTTTCTCGGCAACTGAGCTAAGAATATTGACCTACTTTTAGAAGTTATATAACGCACAGGCCACTGAGGAATTTCAAGATATTGTAAATAAATACTTGAACGGTATGATCTTCTTAACTGATATAAGTTTGATAAGATACCAATCATACATGATGCAAGTTAAAACAATTAATTTTGACTTGTCATTCTGAGATAGTAGAATTTGAAATTACAACATCGTGTAGGCGATGTACTTGAGATATCAAAAGATTACAGATATTAAGTAGCTCAACACTCCTTACAATATATGAATATAAAATAAAAATATTCAAATTTACTTCGTCGAATAATGGAGCTATCTTAATTTATATCCATTTTTGGTATTCTTCACCGGTAACAAGTAATAAAAGACAAAAAGAACACCAAACAACAGCAAAAACAACAAACCTTTCCACTACAAAAATACATTCATTGAGCCAGACTAAAGTGGTTTTACAATAGCATGTTTTTTACTGCATTAAGTTATAATTTATCTGACAATTTTATTTTACTTTAATTATTCAGAGAGAAGAAGGAAACGTATGTAACAGTCAGTTTTGTACATATGGAACAACATGCAGGTATACAAACAAGTCAGATGATTGTCGATGCATGACGGTAAGACTTATTATAAAAAAAATGAGTAAAATTTAACTTATTTCTTTCTTTTAAGAATTTTAAATTCCTTAAAATTCCTTTGTTGTCCAATTAAATGATAGGCATTAAATGATAGGACTTTAATATGGACATTAATTCAGAGAAGTTAGTGTTTATAAGGGGTTCCGGAAATCCATAGCAATCAGGATATATGCAAAATCTACAATATGTATTCATCCGTCATAGCAAATATTAATAAATCCTCTTGTTTACTGATCCATGGAGGCGTATATATCCAGGGATATATGTTTGAATATGACAATTAGCATAACATGATATTAGAAATTGTTTAATACTGTATTTCCCTGTCAAAAGTGAAATGAAGACAAATATGTTAAATGCCGTTGTAAGAAATCAATTAAATCGTACAAGTTTGTTGGCAAGAAAACATTTGATAATCTCATAGTCATAGTGTTCACAAGTACACAATTTTGAAGCGTTGGATGCTAAAATCAGTTTCATAGTTGAAAGAAACGAAGATAAAAAGTTGATTCTCTATTAGACAATAACAATCTTTGTACCATCTATCTAAGTTTAGCTCTGTCCATAACACAAATGTTTAACTACTTTATACATGTATAACACTATTTTCAATCGGATCCCGGGTATTTCCATGAAAATTTATTAAACTTATGGTATGTTGATAAACTGATAAATTAAAATACACGATTTAAATAAAATACTTAAAATTACAGTATATGTTTGTTTCGCATGTTTACAAGATCTTAAAATATATTTCACAGAGTAAATATCATTTTACGGGTGGCGCTGTCAGCAGTAAAATTAAAGAGCTGGTGTTACAACGAGTGAAATATAATTCGAGCTTACACACAAAACAAATATATTTTTATTTATTTCATGCTATTTAATGGACTGAAAAAATGCGGTATCTTTAATGACCAAACTGTGACGTCACATGGTTGAAATATAATCCTTTAAGATTTCACGAAAAACGTTACATTTCTGATTTTACTCATGACGGCATGTTTTTCTGGTGAGATTTCCGCATTCAGATATATATTCCGGCTTTTGTGAAAAATATTTCACCATGAATTTATAAACTAGAGATCTATAATTTCACAGACCACTGAAAATCATTTATTTCATGATTTCCAGTGTTTTACTGGAATATATCAGATGATTATATTCTGATAAACCATTACTGTACAGTAGTGAAATAAGATATAATTTTCACTGTAGCTGGACTGTTTTTGAATGCGGATGAAAAGAAAATTATGAATAAATGGAATAACAGGCAGAAATAAACGCCGTTATACGTAAATGTTGTCATAATACATCATGTTAAATATGTTACAAAATTAGAAAAAAATAACAGAACTATATTTCAAAATTGATGATGTGACGTCATGATATGGTGACGTCACCAAAGACGTTACGCGGCGAATTCAGTAAAAAATATTTAAAATCACTTAAAAAGCATGAAATAAAAAGAAAATGTAGCAAAACTTTATGATGGACAGTTCTTTAAACCTATCGGGGATCCACGCATTCTCATACGACTAGATACAAATATTAATTAGGAGTGTCGCAATTTAATGTCGAAGGTGGAAAGCATATAAACTTTATTACTGATAATTAATCAAAGATTTATCGATAATCCAGTAAACCATATTATGATTTCACTGGAAATTTAAGTTTTATTATAATGTACATGCATTAAGACTAGTGTCGAAATATGTATTATATAAAAGGCTTTTTTGGAAAGTTGAAAATCTAATTAATAGCAAGATATCATTAATTGATATAATCATAAAATTTATCTCATTGTTAGCTGCATTTGTCTTTCCTCTTGGAATGGAAGTCATTGTGAGCATAAAGTAAAAAGCGAAATTGAATGTTTACCAGGCTATATTGGAGAAAAATGCGAAATTCCTCTATGTAAAAATGGTTATGCTTTAAACAATACCGGTTCGAGCTCGAATTACACGTAAGTTTAAGTCAAACTTTATTAATTTATTCTTTAAGAAAATAAGTCCATTGAGTATTTTGATTCTTTTAATCTTCAATTTATACTGTATATGGAAATATGATGATAAACGATTTTCGAATATAACTCTTGTATACTGTGAGCATGAAAATGATATCAATGCTTTTTAAACGAAACTTAGGTACTTGAATAATAGTTGTTCAGCCTGAATTAATGTCCCCTGTTGACTGCCTTTGCCGTATACAATTGCCGTATACAACTGAAAGATAAATATGATTAAGACATTGCTTTAGAGGTAACACCGAATGCCTGAATGTAGCATCAAGGGAATGTACCTGAATTACATTTAACATGACACTATAGTACATGAAGTTCGAAAATCTAAAACGATAAACGTTATTCTGCAAATTAATATCGACAAAACACGTCGAAAAACGTGAAAAATAGCCGGGTTGTCTTTGTCATAAATGATCTTGAAAAGCAAATACTTTCTAAGACATATTTATACTTTGGGTGAATATATATGTTTGAGCAGCCGCATATAAACTCATTTATTTGTTACAATTTGAATTACAATAAAATATTTTGGTTCATTTATTAACTATGCTGTACGTTTCCTCAATTAGGCTTTACTTTTTGCACAATTCTGTGTTATAAATAAGCCTATACTTGTTTTTTAGATGTTATTGTGATAAAGGATGGAATCACACTCATACTAATGATCCATGTGACAAGGACATAGACGAATGTAAACTATATCCGAATATATGTAAGAATGGTGGCAGCTGCAGCAACACTAATGGTTCATACATATGTTATTGTATTGAACAATGGGAAGGTGAAAACTGCACATATTATAATGCATGCAGATCAAATCCTTGTGCAAATCAAGGAAAATGTGCTAAAACAGGAAATGATACCGACAGAACGTATAAATGTACATGTCAACTTGGTTATAAAGGTGAAAACTGCACTTTGGACGTTGATGAATGCTCTCTTAACACAACTAGTATATGTGTACATGGAAACTGCTCCAATAGTATTGGTTCGTACAACTGTACATGCGAAACTGGATGGACAAGCAAAGCTTGTAACGAAACTTTAACCACAACTGTCACACCCAAGATCAGACCAGAATTAACAGCTACTGAAATTTATGGATCTTCATCTAAATTGACCCATCGAAACAATTATGAAACATACAAACAAACTACGGTTACCAAAAAGACAACAGAAAAGACGACGGTTAAAACAACAAATGACAGCAAAAAAGACGGATTGCCAATTATTGTTGGAGCAAGTGTTGGCGGGGTTATAATTTCAGTTGCAGCTGTTGTTAGTATCTACCTATACAAAAGGTAACATTTAACTGATTATTCCCCTTATCTTCACAAATCCTCTTTGTAATATTCTTAATGACACTATATCTGTATATAGAGGATATTGAATGAGTGTAAGTCCAATAATGAATTTATTGAAATAGTTTATGCGAGCCTATGGCGAGCATAATATTATTTTATTCAACGAGTTCAAAACATTTAGTATTGAACTTACACGAATATAATATTCTATTTATCACATATCCTAAATAAAGAGTGTTAAGAGTGAAAAAGAATCATTTTTCAATAGTAAAACGCTAACACTTAGCGATCAGTAGGTCATTGTCACCAGTGCTAAAAATAGATTTTTACTCTTTTGCCCATACAGCCTTTATTTATATAGAGGATATTTGTTTAGTTCAGTGAAAGATCTGAATATATTTCACCGAGTGAGCACCAAAAGGTACATTTCACGAGTGGCACAGCCACGAGTGAAATATGAACTTTTGGTGTTCACAAGGTGAAATATATTTCGATCTTACACTAAACTAAACAAATTTTCTTTTCATTACAGGCAAAGAAACGTTTTAAAAAACATTAAACCTAATACTGAATGAAAAGCGGGCCAAATAATAATATAACGTGACGTTGGTACCCAGTACTGTGCCAATGGTATTTCACTGAAACAACGTAAGGGGCTTAAATCTAAAACAGTGAAATTATCAAAGTGGTAATTTCACTGTTTCAAATCACTGTACTTGGATATTGTTACATATTATAATAAACACAGAACTCACAGAACTTTAACTTGTTTTAGATCAAGATCACACTTCAAGGTAAATGTTAGAAGTTAGTTTATTTGTCTGGCCCATATTCTGTGAAGCATCAAAGGATTTGAACCAATTTGGCACATGATAACCATGACGAAATGATGTGTCATGTTTAGAGGACAAAGGGATAAGCAGTTAGAAAATTTGAGCTCTTGTCATTTTAAAATTAAGGCCTTGTGAATATAAAAGAAATCTTTTTAATCAACAGCCATCTGTGTTCTTACTTTATAAGGTCATTTATTGCAAAACAGTTTTTGAAATACCAACTAAGCTGTCCTGTCATAACATTTTGGTGTCCTAACATATATAGACAGGCCATCTGTTTCTCGTCTAGCTTAAAATTTGCTAGTTTCTTATGTGATGTTTGATGAGTTGATCAATAATTTTTTGTCGCATTGTTTTTGTGTATGTGTTTTTTTCTCAACTACTTGCACTATTGTACCAATCATGATGTATATGATTTTTGGCAAAATACTTCTTGCTGATGATGCCAATTTATAAAATACAGGACTTTTATATTTATATTTTGCTAGTGTCTTGTTGTCCGTGTCATTTGGTGTCATCAAATAATGCAAGTTTGTCTTTTGTTGTCATCAAATAACACCAGTTAAATCAGTTCAAAAATATCTTTTATGCTACTTTAAAAGGAAATGATTATGTAGTTGATTTCTGGCTTGACTTTTCAATGGAAAAGATGAGCCAGTGTTGGCATTTGTGTCACATCTTAGATTAAGATTTTTGTACCACCTACTTTATTTCCAAACTGTTTAAGCTATGGTTTTGAAACTTACCATACTTGTTAACCATGATAACCTCCATAATACAGACAAGAGTACATAACTCTGTTTGCCTCTTTTTTAATAAGATAATACATTGTATATAGGTAAAATCCCATTAATGTCTTTAAACTTTGAAATGTTGCTTTTAAACTTTGAATGTTTGCATAAATCACTACTCCAATCTGAACATAAGTGTAGGTAACTCTGTTAGGGATTTTAAGTTTACATAGTCTTAGAACCTTGGTATCTTTTTTGTACCAGTGCACTTTTTGAGAATTTTTTTTAAAGTTTGAACTTTTCCATCATGGTCCCATAACATGGGCAGGAGAAGGTAATTACCTATGTCAAAGATTTGATTTGAATTATTGCCCTTTTTACTAAGAAAATCAGTTAAAATTTTCTCTTTTTTTTGACCATCATGAGACCTATCCGTAGGCAAGAGTTTCTTGAATTTTACCTAGACAATTCTAGTTTAGGTCTTGTATTCTTTTAACTGTCAAAGCTTTGTTTACTAGCTAGCAAATAAAATTAGAGCACACAGTCCTACTGGCTGCTCTTGTTTGCTTTTTTTATAGCTACATGCTATAATGTGTATTTTGTAGTTAAAGTTATAGTTATAAGTTATGTATTTTTGTAGTTAAAGGTATACATGTATAATCAGATTTTGGGTATATGACAGATTTTTTTAAGCTTTAATATCTGATTTTTACACTCATTCATGTTCACTAAGCATTTAATACAAGCCCTGCTGCACAGTTAATGGGCCAATTGTGTTAGCATCAAAGTCAAAGATTAAAGTTAAACATACAAGACAATATTTGCTTTTTTAAGTACCTTAGGGTGTCTTTAACATTATTTTTGGAAAGATAGGATAACTTTTTGGATACCTTTTTGAAAATATTACATATCTTGCAGACTGTGTGGGTAGGGGACGAATGTAACAAATATATACTTAAAGTCTGAATTTCTTACAGTTTATAAGAAAAATTGTATTATTTCTCTTTATTTTATTAAAATATTATGTGTTCTAATAAATGTTACAAAAAAATCCAGAAAATTCATCTTAGATATAAAAATATTTGCTTTCAAATTTTCAGTCTTTTTCACACAAGGAAAATTTTCAAACATGTTAGAAACGGAGAGAAAAAAAATGCAAACACATTTCTTATAGAACAGTACAAATTATAGGACTTTCATTTGTATATTTATTAGATAATCCAAAAATGAATTGTATCGGGGGAACGCATGTTTCATTTTTGGGGGGACTGTCTGATGTTGCACTAGATGTTTAAAGCTCATAGTTCATACTTTTTTTGTTGTTTTTTTTAAGTAATAATATTCATAAGGGCATTATGCTTTGTATAGTACAATAAATTTTAAATAATTGAACAAATTATGAGAAAAATGTAGAAATATACCTGACAATTATGTAGTTTCTTACTATTTGCGTTTCACAATGAAAAGTTGCATTAACTTAGTTTTCTTCCATTTATCTTACATTTGAATGATCATTGAAATGTTTGGAATAAAATGTTTGGAATAAAATAAAAACATTCAATTTGCTAATTAAATAAAAGGATCTTTGTTTCCAGATAATGCGCTAACGTTAAAGAGAGAATGTCATACCAACGGTACCTTTCTATACATGAAATTATTTACAAAATACTTTAGTTAAATAAATAAGATTTATATTTGTAAAAGATATTATACAGTGTGAAGTAAATAAGAAGTTTTCAGATTGAACCATATGCAAGCTTGAATTTTTCATTTCTTAATACATGAATTATACACAATTAAAATTTTAGTTAAAAATTATAAGATTTTATATTGTTGCAATTAAGTTCTATTGATTTGATGAAATTTTAAGTAAATTAATGTGGGATATGTGCAGCATAACATCCAAATATTTCATTATGATTCAGTATCATAATCTCATTATTTCTAACTTTTAATAATTCTCTGTGTAAATATTTCAGTGTGCATGGACTGCTTAACTTATTTGTCATTCAATAATTTATAATCATATAAATTTTATTTCAAAGTAAATAATTTTGTTTTCAGAGCAAAAAATATTGATTTTTTTTCAAAATTAAGGAATTTAGTGTTCACAAATAATATTTTTTTTTATAAAAACATCATTATTTCAGTGCTTTATTTCTGTTATTTCTTCATTTTTCATTGTAACTTTGGTGTTTTAGTATAAAATTCCCTTTTCAGTAACATTCTAAGTGAGATTAAATAAGCACCTTATATAGTGGGACGGATGTTACAGGGATGGATGTTACAGACAACCTTTTACATTATTGGATTTTTGTGCCCCCACGTTAGTGGCGGGCATTTAGATTTACCCTTGTCCGTCCGTCTGTCCGTCCTTTGTCCGTCCGTCCGTTCACTTTTGTGTCGCATGTAACTCAAAAAGCATTTGACCTAGAGTCATGGAACTTTACAGGAATGTTGATCAGCATGTGTAGTTTTGCACCTGGGTATTTTCGTCTGGATATTTTTAGTATTTTAGAGTTATCGTCCTTGACTTAGTAAAATTTTGCAATTTTCAACTTGTGTCGCATGTAAATTAAAAAGTATTTGACCTAGAGTCATGAAACTTTACAGGAATGTTGATCAGCATGTTTAGTTGTGCACCTGGGTATTTTCGTCTGGATTTTTTAAAAGTATTTTCAGAGTTATTGCCCTTGACTTAGTAAAATTTTGCAATTTTCAACTTGTGTCGCATGTAACTCAAAAAGTATTTGACCTAGAATCATGAAACTTTACAGGAATGTTGATCAGCATGTGTAGTTGTGCACCTGGGTATTTTCGTCTGGATATTTTTAGTATTTTCAGAGTTATTGCCCTTGACTTAGTAAAATTTTGCAATTTTCAACTTGTGTCGCATGTAACTCAAAAAGTATTTGACCTAGAGTCATGAAACTTTACAGGAATGTTGATCAGCATGTGTAGTTGTGCACCTGGGTATTTTCGTCTGGATATTTTTAGTATTTTCAGAGTTATTGCCCTTGACTTAGTAAAATTTTGCAATTTTCAACTTGTGTCGCATGTAACTCAAAAAGTATTTGACCTAGAGTCATGTAACTTTACAGGAATGTTGATCAGCATGTGTAGTTGTGCACCTGGGTATTTTCGTCTGGATATTTTTAGTATTTTCAGAGTTATTGCCCTTGACTTAGTAAAATTTTGCAATTTCAACTTGTGTCGCACATAACTCAAAAAGTATTTGACCTAGAGTCATGAAACTTTACAGGAATGTTGATCAGCATGTGTAGTTGTGCACCTGGGTATTTTCGTCTGGATATTTTTAGTATTTTCAGAGTTATTGCCCTTCACTTAGTAAAATTTTGCAATGTTCAACATGTGTCACACGTAACTCAAAAAGTATTTGACCTATCTAGAGGCATGTAACTTTACAGGAATATTGATCAGCATGTGCAGTTATGCACCAGGTATTTTCTTCTGGATTTATTTAGTATTTTTAGAGTTATTGCCCTTCACTTAGAAAATTTTTGCAATTTTCAACTTGTGTCGCAAGTTACTCAAAAAGGATTTGACATAGTCATTAAACCTTATGGGTAGGTTGCTCAGCATATTTAGATTTGCACCTGGGGTTTCGCTTGTGAATTTATCCAGTATTTGTAGAGTTATTTCCCTTGACTTAGTAAAAAGATTGACAGAACAGTGGCGCGGTTGGGGCACCCGTGTCCTATGGACACATTTCTAGTTTACATATTTATTATACGCCCGTTTGAAAACGGACGCCCGTTTGAAAAACGGGACGTATTATGGGAACGCCCCTGGCGGGCGGCGTCCAATTTTGTCCGGAGCATATCTCCTACATGTATGGAGGGATTTTAATGAAACTTCATAGAAATGTTCACCACTATGAGGAGCAATGTCGCGCACATGAACCAGGTCTCTAGGTCAAAGGTGAGGGTCACAGTAAGAACTCATAGAAAAACGCTTGTCTGGAGCAAACTACTAGATGCATAGAGGGATTTCAATATAATTTGGCACAAATGTTCATCATTGTGAGGCTGAGTGCCTTGCATAAAATTTAGGTCCCTGCGACCAAGGTCAAGGTCACACATCCTGTGCATATCTTCCCTACTGATTTGTTTTAAGGTTCATTTAACAACACAGTGCCAAGAATAAAAACTTGCTTGCTAGGTAACACTTATCCTCCATAATGCCCCAATCTCCATCTAAAGCTTTCGTAAACGGGCGTATTTTGTGACTATGGCACCCTTGTTTAATGTTACTTTAAACTCTTCCAGAATTTTTTGAGTCTATGACATCTTGACACCTCGACCCCTTGACACCTCGATCCCTAAGACATCTCGACCCCTGGCACTTAGACCCCTAAGACACTTAGACCCCTTAAATATACCGGACATTTCGACCCATTAATTAATGTATTGTTATATTAGGAAAGACCGTGCTTTTTTAATAAAACACAAAGTAATGACTAGGGTAGAACATTTTCAGTCGTTTATTAATCATTTATGTATATTTTTTACAAAAACAGTAACACAAATAAATAAACATGTGTCACGGTTCAGAACTGTTCACTATTTAGGGGAGAGGATGTGTAAGCGGCCGGATAGCTTAGTAGGTAGAGCCACGGTACGGTATTCCGAGGGTCCCGGGTTCGAGTCCTGGTCAGGCTGCACATTTTTCTCACCCTTTAACATGTACACACATTACATTGAAATAACAATACATAGAATTCGCAGACACTATCACTATCTTTATACACATGTATGTAATTACTACAATATTTACAATATATACACCTTTTGAAACTGTATTTTTGTACGTCTTGAAGCTCTACAGCGTCAATGACACATTTCCTTGTTTTAAAGTTTCCGTAAATCGACACTATTTCTAGAAGGAATTCCTCACAAACAACATCATGAGCGTTTTATTAAGAATTTATTGACGACATTATCTGTATAAAATTAAAATATTATTTTATTTATTACTTATTAACTCGCTTTTTATATTAACAAGATAACAAAAACCAATAGGATTGCAGTATTTCAAATGAATCGTAACATATTTACTTTGGTAAACCGGCAAAGTGTTAATCAGTTTAGTTAATGGACTGTTAATAAAAATAATTTAAAACACTAAGCCAGTTAAAATTTATTGATACTTATTTACAAAATTAAATTTGCCGCGCGGCTGCGCCGTGCCTGACCAATTTAATTTTGTAAATACGTACTAATAAACTTTAACATATATTAAAGTCATATTTTTATTGATAAAACATGTTTTATTCTAATGACCGATAATTTAATTAGTATCGGCACGCCTCGCCGGTGTTAATCCTATTACGTGTCACTGAATAAACACATACATGTATGACCGATAATTTGATTATTTAACGACACGCGCCGGTGTTTATCCTATTACATGTCACTGATTAAACACATACACGTATGACGTTAAACCAGCACACGGGATATGTATGACGATAACTTATTAAAGGCATTTTCAATTTTTGTAGTCAAAATATGTATGAAAGTGATTAAATGTGTATCAAAAATTAATCCTTTATTATTTAATTATTTTTATTGGAAACAGTTTGAAGCACGCTCATTCTAATTTTCAAAAACGAATTTTAATTGTTTTTGTAGTGAGTCAAATATATTTTTGTAAATATCTGTATCTTCAACTATATCATTTACTTATAATTACTGATAGTTCTTTTTATTTTGATAAATATTGGGGTCAGCTTCCGTAAATTATTACGCAGTCAATAATAACATATCCGTAAACTATTACACACAATTCAATATTTCATTTAGTATAAACGTTCATTGCCAATGTAACATTATTATGGCTTACAAAACAATAAACTGAAGTTTACAAATTTCTAGTTATTATTAATAAAAAAAATGTTTCTAAATGCACTAATGACGAACTTATAAATTAGCACCATTACATTAAACCACGGGACTTTAATCCGATTTTAGTCCGTAATTAAACAAATGAAAACTTTGATTTGTTTATTAATCACCAAAATTAAATTTTTTAAAAATGATATTTCAGAAAAAAACATATAAATTTAAACAAAAAAAACTTAAATATTATATATATATGTCAAAATACATTAACGGGTCTTTTAAAGCCAAACATTTAAAACAGGAGTCGAAATGTCTTAGTCAGTAGGGGTCAAAAAGTCACCTTACAAGGGGTCTAAGAGTCAAGGGGTCTAGATGTCATCTTAATATCCTAAGGGGTCGAGAAGTCAAGGGGTCTAGATGTCTTACTTGCGAATTTTTGAGTTATTGTGTCTTAAATTTTGCAGAGAAAAAAGAGAAGAAGAGATGGCGAGTGGAGGAAAAGGAGCTGTTAAAGCCTTTGGTTCAACAGTCCTTGAGATCTGGGAAACCACCAGTTAAAGGAGACATCATAATTCTGCAGAAGACAAATTCAGCCTTGGCATCATTACCATGGATAAAGATAAAACATCAGATATGGGCTATAGCCCAAGCTGAAAAAAAGTGAAAAGATGATGAAAAAATTGAGACTGTGAATATTGTTAAAATTGTAGTGGGAATATTTCATACCTCAGGGCATAATTAAAGTAACTGAACCATATGGCCATATGTCAGGATGTCTGTGAGTACCAGGTTAATCTAAACCAGAACGTTTTAAATTCTATCTGTACCACTAGCTTCATATTTACATACTGATAAATACAAAGTATATGATCTGGGCAAGTTATATAAGTATGAACTCTTTTTTCCCAAGTTATTGCCCCTTTCAGCACTGAAAATGGATATGGTTAAGCTAAACAGGCAAGTTTGATATATCTTAAGTTCTTTCTATTCGAATGGCTTCATAATTTCCACATTTACTTACTTATCAATACAAAGTACATGGATATTGCCAAGTTATATCACTCTGCTATCCTTAACCTATTCTTGCAAGTTGGATTAAATCTCTCCTAATTACTATATCTTTCGTATTTGTTAGGTGGATATTTTAATGGTCCTCAACTTTTTTGTGGAGTAAGGGGTCTATAGGGTCAAGGTCACTGGTGTGAAAAAATTTATGCTCATACAGCCTTTATTTTTAAGTTGATGTCTTTCATGTATAATACAAACATGCCAAGGGAGGTCCTCCTCCTTTAGGGTTATTAAGGGGTCATTTGGGTCAAGGTCACTTATGTCAAAAATGTATTTTTACACGTGTTTAGCCTTGTTCTATTGACAATGTCATTAATAGTTTGGTAGGACCATAAAATTGAGGTCTTCTCCTTTGGATAACGTTAGGGGTCAGTTGGGTCACGGTCACCAATGCTAAAAAAAGGATTTTTACACTTTTGCTCATATAATCTTTATTTATTGACAGATGTTTTTCATATTTGGTAAGAAGATAACTTGTGTAGTATTTTTTTATTGAGCTAGCGATCAGTAGGTCATTGTCACCAGTGCTAAAAATAGATTTTTACTCTTTTGCCCATACAGCCTTTATTTATATAGAGGATATTTGTTTAGTTCAGTGAAAGATCTGAATATATTTCACCGAGTGAGCACCAAAAGGTATATTTCACGAGTGGCACAGCCACGATTGAAATATGAACTTTTGGTGTTCACAAGGTGAAATATATTTCGATCTTACACTAAACTAAACAAATTTTCTTTTCATTACATGCAAAGAAACGTTTTAATAAACATTAAACCTAATACTGAATGAAAAGCGGGCCAAATAATAATATAACGTGACGTTGGTACCCAGTACTGTGCCAATGGTATTTCACTGAAACAACGTAAGGGGCTTAAATCTAAAACAGTGAAATTATCAAAGTGGTAATTTCACTGTTTCAAATCACTGTACTTGGATATTGTTACATATTATAATAAACACAGAACTCACAGAACTTTAACTTGTTTTAGATCAAGATCACACTTCAAGGTAAATGTTAGAAGTTAGTTTATTTGTCTGGCCCATATTCTGTGAAGCATCAAAGGATTTGAACAAATTTGGCACATGATAACCATGACGAAATGATGTGTCATGTTTAGAGGACAAAGGGATAAGCAGTTAGAAAATTTGAGCTCTTGTCATTTTAAAATTAAGGCCTTGTGAATATAAAAAAAAATCTTTTTAATCAACAGCCATCTGTGTTCTTACTTTATAAGGTCATTTATTGCAAAACAGTTTTTGAAATACCAACTAAGCTGTCCTGTCATAACATTTTGGTGTCCTAACATATATAGACAGGCCATCTGTTTCTCGTCTAGCTTAAAATTTGCTAGTTTCTTATTTCTTATGTGATGTTTGATGAGTTGATCAATAATTTTTTGTCGCATTGTTTTTGTGTATGTGTTTTTTTCTCAACTACTTGCACTATTGTACCAATCATGATGTATATGATTTTTGGCAAAATACTTCTTGCTGATGATGCCAATTTATAAAATACAGGACTTTCATATTTATATTTTATTGGTGTCTTGTTGTCCGTGTCATTTGGTGTCATCAAATAATGCAAGTTTGTCTTTTGTTGTCATCAAATAACACCAGTTAAACCAGTTAAATCAGTTCAAAAATATCTTTTATGCTACTTTAAAAGGAAATGATTATGTAGTTGATTTCTGGCTTGACTTTTCAATGGAAAAGATGAGCCAGTGTTGGCATTTGTGTCACATCTTAGATTAAGATTTTTGTACCACCTACTTGATTTTCAAACTGTTTAAGCTATGGTTTTGAAACTTACCATACTTGTTAACCATGATAACCTCCATAATACAGACAAGAGTATATAACTCTGTTTGCCTCTTTTTTTAATAAGATAATACATTGTATATAGGTAAAACCCCATTAATGTCTTTAAACTTTGAAATGTTGCTTTTAAACTTTGAATGTTTGCATAAATCACTACTCCAATCTGAACATAAGAGTAGGTAACTCTGTTAGGGATTTTAAGTTTACATAGTCTTAGAACCTTGGTATCTTTTTTGTACCAGTGCACTTTTTGAGATTTTTTTTAAAGTTTGAACTTTTCCATCATGGTCCCATAACATGGGCAGGAGAAGGTAATTACCTATGTCAAAGATTTGATTTGAATTATTGCCCTTTTTACTAAGAAAATCAGTTAAAATTTTCTCCTTTTTTTTGACCATCATGAGACCTATCCGTAGGCAAGAGTTTCTTGAATTTTACCTAGACAATTCTAGTTTAGGTCTTGTATTCTTTTAACTGTCAAAGCTTTGTTTACTAGCTAGCAAATAAAATTAGAGCACACAGTCCTACTGGCTGCTCTTGTTTGCTTTTTTTATAGCTACATGCTATAATGTGTATTTTGTAGTTAAAGTTATAGTTATAAGTTATGTATTTTTGTAGTTAAAGGTATACATGTATAATCAGATTTTGGGTATATGACAGATTTTTTTAAGCTTTAATATCTGATTTTTACACTCATTCATGTTCACTAAGCATTTAATACAAGCCCTGCTGCACAGTTAATGGGCCAATTGTGTTACCATCAAAGTCAAAGATTAAAGTTAAACATACAAGACAATATTTGCTTTTTTAAGTACCTTAGGGTGTCTTTAACATTATTTTTGGAAAGATAGGATAACTTTTTGGATACCTTTTTGAAAATATTACATATCTTGCAGACTGTGTGGGTAGGGGACGAATGTAACAAATATATACTTAAAGTCTGAATTTCTTACAGTTTATAAGAAAAATTGTATTATTTCTCTTTATTTTATTAAAATATTATGTGTTCTAATAAATGTTACAAAAAAATCCAGAAAATTCATCTTAGATATAAAAATATTTGCTTTCAAATTTTCAGTCTTTTTCACACAAGGAAAATTTTCAAACATGTTAGAAACGGAGAGAAAAAAAATGCAAACACATTTCTTATAGAACAGTACAAATTATAGGACTTTCATTTGTATATTTATTAGATAATCCAAAAATGAATTGTATCGGGGGAACGCATGTTTCATTTTTGGGGGGACTGTCTGATGTTGCACTAGATGTTTAAAGCTCATAGTTCATACTTTTTTTGTTTTTTTTTTTAAGTAATAATATTCATAAGGGCATTATGCTTTGTATAGTACAATAAATTTTAAATAATTGAACAAATTATGAGAAAAATGTAGAAATATACCTGACAATTATGTAGTTTCTTACTATTTGCGTTTCACAATGAAAAGTTGCATTAACTTAGTTTTCTTCCATTTATCTTACATTTGAATGATCATTGAAATGTTTGGAATAAAATGTTTGAATAAAATAAAAACATTCAATTTGCTAATTAAATAAAAGGATCTTTGTTTCCAGATAATGCGCTAACGTTAAAGAGAGAATGTCATACCAACGGTACCTTTCTATACATGAAATTATTTACAAAATACTTTAGTTAAATAAATAAGATTTATATTTGTAAAAGATATTATACAGTGTGAAGTAAATAAGAAGTTTTCAGATTGAACCATATGCAAGCTTGAATTTTTCATTTCTTAATACATGAATTATACACAATTAAAATTTTAGTTAAAAATTATAAGATTTTATATTGTTGCAATTAAGTTCTATTGATTTGATGAAATTTTAAGTAAATTAATGTGGGATATGTGCAGCATAACATCCAAATATTTCATTATGATTCAGTATCATAATCTCATTATTTCTAACTTTTAATAATTCTCTGTGTAAATATTTCAGTGTGCATGGACTGCTTAACTAATTTGTCATTCAATAATTTATAATCATATAAATTTTATTTCAAAGTAAATAATTTTGTTTTCAGAGCAAAAAAAATTGATTTTTTTTCAAAATTAAGGAATTTAGTGTTCACAAATAATATTTTTTTTTATAAAAACATCATTATTTCAGTGCTTTATTTCTGTTATTTCTTCATTTTTTATTGTAACTTTGGTGTTTGAGTATAAAATTCCCTTTTCAGTAACATTCTAAGTGAGATTAAATAAGCACCTTATATAGTGGGACGGATGTTACAGGGATGGATGTTACAGACAACCTTTTACATTATTGGATTTTTGTGCCCCCACGTTAGTGGCAGGCATTTAGATTTACCCTTGTCCGTCCGTCTGTCCGTCCTTTGTCCGTCCGTCCGTTCACTTTTGTGTCGCATGTAACTCAAAAAGCATTTGACCTAGAGTCATGGAACTTTACAGGAATGTTGATCAGCATGTGTAGTTTTGCACCTGGGTATTTTCGTCTGGATATTTTTAGTATTTTAGAGTTATCGCCCTTGACTTAGTAAAATTTTGCAATTTTCAACTTGTGTCGCATGTAACTCAAAAAGTATTTGACCTAGAGTCATGAAACTTTACAGGAATGTTGATCAGCATGTTTAGTTGTGCACCTGGGTATTTTCGTCTGGATTTTTTAAAAGTATTTTCAGAGTTATTGCCCTTGACTTAGTAAAATTTTGCAATTTTCAACTTGTGTCGCATGTAACTCAAAAAGTATTTGACCTAGAGTCATGAAACTTTACAGGAATGTTGATCAGCATGTGTAGTTGTGCACCTGGGTATTTTCGTGTGGATATTTTTAGCTCACCTGTCACAAAGTGACAGGGTGAGCTTTTGTGATCGCTTTTCGTCCGGCGTCCGTCCGTCCGTCCGGCGTCCGTCGTCCGTCTGTAAACTTTTACTTTAAATGACATCTCCTCATAAACCACTAAGCCAATTTCATCCAAACTTCACAGGAATGTTCCTTTGGTGGTCACCTTTAAAAATTGTTCAAAGAATTTTATTCCATGCAGAACTCTGGTTGCCATGGCAACCGAAAGAAAAAACTTTAAATATCTTCTTTTAAAAAACCATTCGAGCTAGAGCTTAGATATTTGGCATGAAACATCTTCTAGTGAGTGTCTACCAAGTTTGTTCAAATAAAAGCCCTGGGGTCAAAATTGGCCCCGCCCCGGGGGGTCATTGATTTTCCCTATATGCATATAATAAAAACTTTAAAAAATCTTCTTTTAAAGAACCCAAAGAACTAGAGCTAAGATATTTAGCATGAAACATGTTCTAATGGGTGTCTACCAAGTTTGTTAAAAAAAAGCCCTGGGGTCAAAATTGGCCCCGCCCCGGGGGTCATTGATTTTCCCTATATGCATATAGTAAAAACTTAAAAAATCTTCTTTTAAAGAACTCAAAGAGCTATGGCTAAGATATTGAGCATCAAACATTTTCTAATAGGTGTCTACCAAGTTTGTTCAAATAAAAGTCCTGGGGTCAAAATTGGCCCCGCCCCAGGGGGTCATTGATTTTCCCTATATGCATATAGTAAAAACTTAAAAAATCTTCTTTTAAAGAACCAAAAGAGTTAGAGCTAAGATATTTAGCATGAAACATGTTCTAATAAGTGTCTACCAAGTTTGTTCAAATAAAAGCCCTGGGGTCAAAATTGGCCCCGCCCCGGGGGTCATTGATTTTCCCTATATGCATATAGTAAAATCTTAAAAAATCTTCTTTTAAAGAACTCAAAGAGCTATGGCTAAGATATTTAGCATCAAACATTTTCTAATAGGTGTCTACCAAGTTTGTTCAAATAAAGCCCTGGGGTCAAAATTGGCACCGCCCCGGGGGTCATTGATTTTCCTTATATGTGTATAGCAAAAACTTAAAAAATCTTCTTTGAAAAAACCCAAATAGCTAGAGTTAAGATATTAAGCATGAAACATCTTTTAGTGAGTGTCTACAAAGTTTGTTCAAATAAAAGAACTGGGGTCAAAATTGGCCCCGCCCCGGGGGTCATTGATTTTCTTTATATGTGTATAGCAAAAACTTAAAATCTTCTTTGAAAAAACCCAAATAGCTAGAGTTTAGATATTAAGCATGAAACATCTTCTAGTAAGTGTCTACAAAGTTTGTTCAAATAAAAGCCCTGGGGTCAAAACTGGCCCCGCCCCAGGGGTGTCATTGTTTTTAACTATATGTGTATAGTAAAAACTTTAAAAAAATCTTCTTTTAAAAAGCCCAATGAGCTAGAGCTTAGATGTTTAGCATGAAACATCTTCTTATGGGTGTCTACCAAGTTTGTGCAAATAAAAGCCCTTGGGTTAAATTGGCCCTGCAACGTTGGGGGGGGGGTGGGGGGCCTATATACAGGTGAGCGACCTCAGGGCCATCATGGCCCTCTTGTTTGAAAAAGCCTGCATTACATGTATTTTTGAAAAATTGGCCCATTTACTGTGCAGCAGGCAACAAGTAAGATTTTGACTTGCAAAAGGAAAGATATATGGTGTCAATGTAAATAAATATAAGGGAAGCCCCTCTT